CAAGCCTACCCTCACTCATTCCAGTGTTGTGGTTCTCTTCCTTTTCTCCCTCTTCTCGTTCCTGCATTGGGCTCGAGGGAATTTGAGCCTAGCCAGCGTAGGCAGGCAGCGCCATGCCTACTGTGGACGCATAATCTCGATTTGCTTTTACCTCTCAATGGAAGAAAAATATTTCCAGTTGTGTTAATCGAAGAATTAATTATCAAATATTAATTTGAGAACTCTGATTGTAAACTGGGTAGGCACTGCCTACCCTGCCTACCCTGACGAGTCGCCACTGAGAATCTCAAGTGGGAATGTCACATTATGCAGCTTTCTCACAGCTGCACACTCGGCTCTTTCCCAGCTGCATCCCAGCTGAGTGTGCTACCTGGGAACGGTGAATTGATGGCGCTCGAGGGGGTTTAGAGGAGGGCGACAATAATGATAAAGGAGGTTAGGGGACTTCCATACAAAAGCGTTTGGAAGTGCTCGGACTGTACTCGCTCGAGAGAAGGTTAAGGAGAAGCGATCTCATCCAGGCTTCCAAGATACAGTAATTAAAGGAATATATAACATTGGGCGTGGTAGGTTCTTACAGTTCGATGGCAGCAAGAGATAGAGAGATAATAAACTCAAGTTGCGTAAACCGCAGGTGCGGTTCAGGTTGAGACAGAAAATGTTCTCTTGTAGAGTGGTGAACGCGTGGAATGCGTTTGACGACGTAGTGGCTGCCCCTTCCGTGACTATTTTAAAGAAGCTAGGTGCTTTTATGGACAGGCAATAAAGGCAATGTTTACTTAAGGGACTAAGCAGTAAGCAACTAGGATATGCTAAAAAGAAAAATCAAAGATACAAAAGTATTCAGCTTTAAGAGGAAAAGGCCTACCCTAAAATTAAGGAACGCTCGACTTCGACATATGGTATCCAGATGGGTGTTTTCGCATCCTGATACCACCAAACAACCTTGGTACCTTTAGACCTTGCAACGCCACTATATTGGGAAGGTTCAAAATTAACTTTCATACTTCGCTGATTGAATGTTCGATTGTTTGCTGTGAAGTTTCTTATGCGTTAGCTGATTTCAGAAACTTAGCAAGACCCCAGATAAAATGTTTATCTAGGGCCTTGAAACTTAGTTCGAAACGTAGAAACGAGAGCTCCCTGACGTTCTCCCGCGTAAACTGCTACTTCAGCTGTTTTGAAGGAGATGGCAGGCTGAGAGACGCACGTGTACTACTTCATTGCCGGTTAACGTCTTTCCCATGTTTCACCACCAATATAACCTCAATATGTTTTCTAGGAGTGTTATTTTCTCGGTTATCAACATAACATCAGAGCATCGAGAAGACATACCTGAATGTCTCCCCCCCAACCTTAGGTTAGAAACATTAGTAACGCAGAGGCCCTATTTTCAGTCCTACCCATTCACTATATTGATAGCCATTAGATTGGCGGTGAAAACTCTACCTCGAAATGATACCACCTGGATTATTCAATTCTACAATATTTGGTGTGGTCATTGCTAGGCCTAACTTATGCCTCCTCATATCAAATTTTCCAGGAAGTCACGTATAACATATGCCATAGGTCTAAAAGTTATGCCAATGGCATCTCTTATGAGCAGGCCTAGACTTAGTGTAGTGATAGGGATGGCATGGAGAGGGTACCACTACACTTGACACTAGTGGTAGCACACATGACAGGCTATCAGGCAGACCAGGTTCAATTCCCAATTCGTACTCTGATGCCATCCAACTCTTCCCTCTAATAACCATTGGAATTATGCTAAGCCTAGCAATTACTTAATTCAACCAGTTTAAATTCAGGGCCTAAATTTAGAGAATGAATTGGAAAGACCAGAAGAAACATTCAGGAGTAGATAGATTGCTACGACCCAGGACAGCAATGGCATACCGAGGATTCTGAGCTCCATTCTCTACACCAAGCTCTAATCTCTGTCAGAATTAATAAATTCTGACACAATCACAATGATCACAATGGTACACCTGGTAGACCTCAGGTGGTTGCATAACATGCATGAGCTTTGTGTATGGCTTAGAAATCATAGAGGTTCCATTTTCAATGCTGATTAAATTCATGTCATGACAGAAGAGCAAGACAGGTTGGATTTCTTCCCTTGTCATTTCAATGGCAGAGAAGATGTTTCTAAAAGGGAGTGATTTACATTGATTTAGTTACTCTCAGAGTCTCTGGCTCTTCCTTTGCACACTGAATACATCGAACAGTGGTGATCATAAGGCCGGGAGAAAGGTATTTCATGAGATTCTAGCATTGCTGAAACAGCTATTCTATTGTGCAGCCTTCTTTTTGAACTTCCAAAGAATGGCCCATGAATCTATGAATGCCTTGACAATTGGCATGTGGAAGTCTCACATTGTATGAATACCAGGGTGACTGGCAATCATAGTGAGAACATATTATATCCAAAATTGCAGTTTCCTTCCAAGGAACTCAGTTAAACTTGCTATTTATCATCTGGAGAATTTTTAGAGAAGGATGCCTTGGTTTTCTTGAAAGGCATGTATGAAAAGCATTGAATAAAATGAGGGTGCAGAGACCTCTGTTATCCCTGTTTGAAGCATTAGTTGCTTGTGCATGAAAAGTTGGTCCTTTTTCCATTTTGATATTTCTGCTTTGCCAGATGTGGTCAGATGGGTTTGTGATTATCTTGCATACATGTACCAAATCATTTTATTGGCTCCAGTGATATCAGAATGTATCATCTGTGCTCAGAAATTTATCTTTTTGGCACTATTTAATTATTTGACACTGGATGCTTTTCATTAATGACCAGACAGGCACTTCAACCAGGAGCTGCTGCTGAGGCTGCTAGATAAACTGGAAAGGGATCAGTCTATTCATGGAATCATTATTTGTTTTTGGTGAATCTCAAAATCATGAGTGGCAATTATCTCATGGATCCATGTGTGCTATGCTGCTCATTAATATGATTATTACTACATTCTAAATGACTTCAGAAGCTCTCATTGAATGGTGCAGAAATAATGAGAGATCATATAATACTCTTCTTAAGAATCTGTGGAATTTATTTGTAGAGCACATGATACAAGAAGTCATGAAGCTTCTACTCTAGCATTGCTCTTTGTGATAGCCAAAAATCCAAATTAGTATCTATTACTTTGGTGCAGCAAGAAATTGATGGAATGCTCCATCCTCTTTTGAAAGCTTGGTCTTTTTTTTCATTTGAAATTGGTTTAATGCTAAGATATATTACATTTGCATTTTCTAGTCATCAGAAAATAAGAGAACTCTTCAATCTTATATATGGTGCATAAAGTATCTAATGTACAGCAAAATTCAGTCTTTCCCCTGTCTTAAGATAGTAAAATATAGCATCTATTGCACTGCTAGCCTACCAATGGTGAGTTGGTACCATAAACATGTCAACCCAGCCATAGTTATTTTATCTGCTTGTTCCCATAGATATAGACCATCCTGTATTGTACTGACAATATGTTCTGTAATTGTAGCATTAAGCACATTGATATGTACTTCAAAGTTTGGTCTTCTAACAGCACTTTCATTTTCATATGGTATCCACCACATGGTTGTTCACATAAAGGTCCCTTGCTGTTTATATAAGATAGCACAGCAGGACTTAATCCATATGCTGTCTCCAGGGAATTTTTATCTCATTCTGGGAACCTGGTAAAGTAAGGGAAATAGAAATGTGGGAATAAAAAAACTGTGAAATTGAATCACAAAGGAAATACATGAAGTATGTTGTTATTTGTGAATAATAGAAGGAATATATGAAAGTAATCTTTTGTGTGCAGAAAGTATTCTTGGAGAAAATTCTGTAAAGTCAGGGATAGATGTGCTAAATTTTTTTTAGAACCTTGGCTAGAATATGTATTACATAAGTCAAATACAATCTCTTGTAGCTACCTTGCCAACTTCTCAGGAAAAGTGCCCTTTATTTCCAGGTATAAACCTATGGAAGAAGTAATTATTTCAGTCTGAAAGAGCTAGCCCAAAAGGTAGCAATTGGAAGGATGTCATTTCGAGGACGTGGTGGGGGTGGATTTCGAGGATCAAGAGGAGGAGGTGGATTCCGTGGTGAATATTGTTTTCAATCTACATCTTGATTTGGAAACCATTCTTTGTCTCATGGCTTTTTTCCCTCTCCCCCATTGGCTTTCTTCAGGAAGAGGAGGAGGAGGAGGAGGATTTAATAGAAGACCTCAAGATATGGGACCTCCTGAGGAAGTAGTGCCATTGTACCATTCATTTCTTGCCCCATTCATGCTTCAAGTACAGTTTAAAAAAAGACCTTTCTGCATCTCACAGGTTATTGAGTTTGGTTACCTCACACATACATGCCGGGATGACCTGGTGTGTAAGGTAGTTGTGGATGATGTTCCATACTTCAATGCTCCCATCTACCTGAAGAACATGGAGCAGATTGGAAAAGTGGATGAAATCCTTGGACACCTTCGTGATTACTATATTTCTGTCAAGTTGGGTGAAAATATGAAAGCATCATCTTTTGACAAAGAAACCAAGGTATGCCTCCTTTTGTCCAGTGACACAGCATGAAATGCATACTTTCCTTTTGACTATAACTTAAGTATACTATCTTTTGTAACTACTATCATAACCATCGGGCATGGAGCACCCTATTGTTATTGCAAGCTTGATTCCAGAGATTGGCAACAATGCATAGAAGTAGCCTAGCTTCTTTGAGTGTCATCCTTTTGATGATTCATCTGTTTCATGAGGATGCTGTTTTCTCTCTCATTTCAGATTTATATAGATCCAAACAAGTTGCTTCCCCTTCAACGCTTCTTGCCAGGAGCTCAGGGTCGTGGGGGTGGAAGGCGTGGGGGAAGAGGAGACTCACGAGGGCGAGGGGGTGGTTTCAGAGGAAGCAGAGGAGGAGGTGGTGGTCGAGGATTTCGAGGTGGAGGTGGTGGTTTTCGTGGTGGGGGATTCCGTGGTCGTGGTGGAGGTGGATTTGGTGGAGGTGGCAGAGGTGGGTTTGGTGGAGGTGGTGGATTTGGTGGAGGTGGCAGAGGTGGATTTGGTAACAGAGGTGGGTTTCGAGGTGGAAGAGGCGGATCCTATTGATTCAAGTGAAGTTTTTCATGGATCTCTGTTCTCTTGTTGGACATTCTTTTTGGAAATAATGACTTGTTTTTGAGATGTGAAGCTGGCTCATTTATTTCCCTGGAACCACTGTCCCATCAGTTTTGCTAAGGAGAGAAGCATAGAGCCAGTGTGTGAATGAGGGGGAATATAGCTTCCCTCCAAAAATTTCATATTGGAATATTTCCTCATGCAGTTCCTTTTGTAACATAATTATAGTGATAATTTTGCCGAAGTAAAAAAATGTTGGGAAAACCTGATCCCCAAGAAAAAAAAGTGCCCACTGGGGGATGTTCCCCAAAATTAGGCTTTTTTTTCAATCAGCACCCTGAAAATTACATATGTACCAAATTTCATCTTTCTATCATACCTGGAACATTCTTAGTATTAGTGTCAGTCACAAATTTCTCTGTTTTAGGTAGTTTTTACTCTTTATGTCTGTAACTTATTAAAGAGTGCAAGAACCAAATATGTCAGCTTGTACAATAGCAGTGGGACTTATGAACTATTTTGTAGTAAAGTTTTGAGTTGATTGAGTTAGCACCTTGGCCTCTGTCACCTATGTAGTGCTCACAAGTAAATTTAAATATATTTCATATTTAATCCTCTTAGTGCCCAGAAACGATATATAGGTTGGGCAGGAAAAGTTAATGCTTTCCAATGGACCTATCCTGTGCTCTTATCTACCAATAAGGTGAACTACTCTTGTTTGTTTACATTGCTCCAAGAACAATTATATATTGTGCCTGGCACTTTTTACACAAGGATCAAACATTATCGTTGGACACTTAATATAGTTTTGTTTTTGTAGCTTATATCGTTTTAATTTTTTATGGAATTAGAAAGAGCAAAATGAGAGCCAAAAAAATTACATTGAACACCTCTTTACTTCAATTAGGAGCAAACCTGTATGTGTTATGTAGTAGCAACCTAAGAGGTTGTGCAGTGGTGCCAAAAATAGCATCTCACATTTTGATCCGATTTCAATCAAATCCAATATTCATGCTATGAGCCATCATATCTTACTTCCTGCCAATTTTCAAGAAAATAAAAAATTGTCAAGCACACATCATGGTTGAGTTGATGTGAAATGGCCAAATGCAATAATGGGGTAGCATACATGCTACATGGTAGCATAACATAAGCGTAACGGAGACGGGGTTTTTAGGATTTGAAAATCACCTGCCGAATCATTGCTTACGTTGCCTTGCCCTGAGTGAAAAATGCGAATCTTGCTCGGACCTCACCTTTCCCTCATGCTCTTCAAGCCCAAATGTGACCATCTGCGTCTTATTAACGGATGTGGTCATATGGATGTAATCAAGGGATGTGACTATTTCCTTCCTATGCAATCGTGTCATGCCATGACCATTCCCTGCAATCAGCATCCCGCCATTGACCATGAAACCTGAGTTGAGGGTAGGCCTATCATGTTCATATTGAAATCATGACAGCTACATAGATTTCACACGGTCTCGGGCAAGGGTAGTCAATTTATAGATTTTACTGTGTTGACCTGGTGTCTATGCTGGAGAACGATTTCTGTGAAGCTGAGGTTTTTTTTAACTTCAGAAAATTCCTATGAAACTAAGCTGCTGCAGGAATTGTTTTTCGCAGAGGTCCCAGGTGATTGCATAAGCACCTTTCTTTCGTCCTTCTTGATGACAGAAAGCTTTTGATAACGCATAAAGGTATACTACTCTGAAAAAAAGAACAGTAATAAAAATATATATTTACTGATCACTGTAATTTAACGAAATTATGTTCTCAAACGACGTCTGTATGGCTTCACATTTATTGACATCTGCCGAAATTTGTTGAACAAATAATGTGAATCATACATGTAAAAAAAATCTGCAATTCACCGGCATCGAACTAAATCTATTTTTGTTTCCACCTTTTGCTTTTCACTACCTGTACCCAACATTGCATGCCTTTCATCGGATTCTGGTAGGTCTCTTCAGGTGTTTCATCCCATAGGCGCTGAAGAGAGGCAGCCAGTTCGCTTCTCCGCAGAAACCGACTGTTCCTTCCGTGGAGGGTCGATGGTCATCCCACAGATGCTGGTTTGGTCTGCACTTCCCTACATTCTCATTTTGCAACCTGTCCCGAGGCATGAGCACTTTCCCTCTGCGACGAAGAGCGGCAACGCTGGAAGATACGATTTCGATAGAAAAGAGTTTGAAGATAGATAGAAGATACAACTGCGGAAATGCGAAAAAACTGCAGGAAAAACGATTGCTTCGGCATTCTCGATCGGATTCGAAGGGGTTGCTCCGCACTTCGTAACCTCACTTTATCACCAGCCCCAATGCCTTATGATTACATGAACGCCCTCAAGGGGAAGTGAAGTGGGAAAACGCAAAGTCCCAAACCAAATTATTCTCACTTTTCCAAAAGAAACCTGTGCTTTCACTTTTGGGAAAATTAACATTTCTAGCAAGAATAAATATGCAATCGTGTTTTAGATACAAAAAAGCGTATGAATAAAAGGCTGTAAGAAGTGAAAGAGAGAGCAGAGAGGGGAACGAAACGTATTAGCTGAAATGTGCATTCATGGAATCATGATTTAACATGCATCTTGCGCGAGAGGAACATGACAGTTGAAGCCTGAATGAGCTTGAAGGACAGGAGAGAAAGGGTCTTAGCGTCAAGAATGTTTTTAACCCTTCCCTTTCAGGAGTATGAACGTACCATACTCCTGAAAGGGTTAAAAAAAAACTCACTTTTCAAAGGGTATTAAGGGTGGCATTAACATATCTTGTAGAAATATCATGAGTCATTAAAAGAAGAAACTAATAGTGGCGAGATAATTTCAAACAGGAAAATTAAAAGGATAAATAATTACATTACAATAAAATAAACCAAACATAGGAAAGAGCTGTTAGGCATGACCTGACTCCCAAGTGGATGCGGTAAAGAGCACAGACTTCTCGCGATTTCTGGTCAATCCCGCAAATCAGCAAAATCGAAAAGATACAAGTACTGCATATTAAAAAGTTACATTTATGTTAATACAAATTTATTAATGTATTAATAATAATAACATATTAATAGGATACTGGTAACTTGATTTTTTCCGTGTATCATAGGCTGTGCCGAAAAGGTAATTACCAAATCCGCAGGTTGAAAAAATCGCAGCTCTATTGCCTTCAACTAGCATCTTTCAGAGCCTGGTTTTTTACTTCGACTGTCTAGTCTTGTTTGAGAATCCGGTGACAAGTAATAATATTTACAAATGTATTCAAATCTCATGTCCCCTTCAGTGCTGATCGGGAATGCAATCCAAGCAAGAGAACCATGGAATTTGCTCACATCGGTTCGTATTCTCATCAATCAAGTCCCCTGTGGGCAAATGGGAATGTGGTCATAATCCAGACCCGGAAAAGAAAGTGTTCAAGAGAAAGAAACCAGTTTTCGGATGCTATCGAAATGGTTTAGTCAGATGGAAGGCTCCAACGTATCGTGACACCTCGAAAGTGAAGCAGAAACAGAGGTTTGGAGTGGCCAATTGAGATCGATTGGATGATCGATGGCTGCGTTGCCGCACTCCCCGAGCAAGTGGCAAAAAGTGACCAAATCAATAGTGAAGTGCGATACGTGCAAGCGCAAAGTGTGGAAATGCAGGGTGACACAGAAACATTGAAACAATATAAATGCTTTGTCATTTTTTACATTTATGTTCCAAAACAGTGGGTTTTTTTTTACAAATACTAATCAAGGCCGTGCAATTCAAGGGCAACATGTTACAGCTTAGATTTTCAAGATAGTGCTCTTCGAACTGTCTCCATGTGGTGCTACAATGGAAAGTAAAAATTTTTCAAAGTTCAATAGTCACATCATCTCTCGTTTGGTGACATTTTATGGCCCGCAAGATCTCCAGATCTAACTATATCAGATTACTCTCCTTTAGGGCTTTTTGAAAGAAAAGGTGTACCAAAGTAAGCTTCACACATCACAGGAACTTGAGGAAAACATTAGTGCAGAAGTAGCCAGAGTAACCGCAGCATTGTGCGAAGCGATTGCCAAATCTTTGAAAAACATTAACATTCCTGTATTGCATTTTATGGAGGCCATTTGTATGCAATATGTACTGTATGCAATAGTATGTACTGTCTTCAATGCAAATGCACTGTCTTCAATTTGAATTGCAAGGTCTTGAATAGTATTTTTGTAAAACCACGCTGTTTTTGTAGAAAAAAATTTAAAAAATGACAAATATTTACATTGCTTCAATGTTTGTTTCACCCTAAAGTACGAGGGCGTCTCAAATGAAAACAGCAAAAGTAGATGTTTCATTTTAAAATTATAAATCTGAGTTTGGGTTCAATTTTTTATATGGGGAAGTTACTTTGCTTCAGTTGGAACTTCTGGGTGTGATTTTCATTTCTTTTTAACAGCTGATAGGGAACACCCATGAAATTTAAAATGGCAGGGCGTCTACACTCTCCAAAAAATATATCACCTACTTTTTTTAAAGGTATTATTAGGTATCTCCATCCTGTTTTCATGCGGGCCTCAGATTTTTCAGCTCATGAAATCTCAGAAGAGTAAAAGATAATTTTCTGTCAAGTTTAAGATTTCCTCAACCAGCGATTCAAATACAATAACATTTCAAATTTGAAGTACGAAATTTCTGAGCGAAGAACCAATCCGTCCACTGCTCCTCGCAGGGATGCATCCCTTCGGTGCGCTCCAACACGACTGAGCGGCAGACAAAGCGGGCAGTCTCGGTGAAAGAAACTGGTTTTCGATGCTTCTAGCCGTGTTTTCCTGGTCACTTTGAGTTCGGGTTGCAGTTCATCTTGTCATTTCAGAACTAAATTCCTTTGGGGAAAAAATCACATCATGGTCTTAGTAAGGATTGAAAAAAAAAATGCTGAAGCTGTATCAATTGGCAGAAAATGTTGAAGCGGTAGGCTGCATGGAACCAAAACTGCTGAAAATATCGAGACTGTAAAAGAGTTTGTCCTCAGAAGGGATCAAATTCAAACCAATCGAACGATGAAACTGATGAAAGGAATTTATAAAAATTCGCAATTACTTCGCTGAGACAGCCTGCCGCCTGCCTGCGCTGTCATTTTGGAGAGCGACAAAGCGACCCTCCTGGCTGGAAGCAGTGTGAGGATTCCTCATTCACTGTGATGTTCAGCACTGCAACTTTGAAAAGTTATTGCGTTTGAAGCACGGGATGAAATTGTTTTACACTTAGTAGGAAATCTTTCTTATTCACCTGAAATGGCACGCGCCGAAAAGCATGAACCTTGCGCGATATAGGATGAAGATATTTAAGGAAAAAACTGCCCCTCCCCCCTTTTTCTTTTTATAGACAGTGTAGATAGTTGCGCCGAGGTTGAGATTCCAGGAGTTATCAGATTCTTGAACGCAGAAGGAATGAAACCTCGTGAAATCCATAGCAGGATGATAAGTGTGCAAGATGAAGGCTGTTTGTCACAAAGGAGGGTGTATGAATGGGTCGAAAAGTAATTTTAAAAAATGAAGTCAACGATCATAAAGACGCTCCTCGACACGACGAGACAAACAGCGGAGTCACACCTGACAACATCCTTGCTGTCAATTCGAGGAGACCGACGCATCCAGCCGGAAGAAATGGAGGAAAGAAACCCCGAAAGCAAGATAAGAATAATGGAAATGTAGGCTCTGTTCTGTAAATGTAGCAGAGCGCATAGCACGAAAAGTAGCATTTCCAATGTTGAAACCTGTATTGAAGATCATCCTCAGCTATCAACGTCGACAAGGCGAAAAACCCACCCTTGGGTTTCCATCCCCGAAGTACAATTGCATTCTCCCGAGAATAAGTTCATTTCACAAAAAGTTTAACACTTTCGCGGTCGGACCGACTTTGCCGTGTCATTCTGACACGCCATGTCACTAATATGACGGCGAAAGTGTTACGGGCGTCTCGCACTTAGCGTGTCATGCGTCCTTTGCGTCAATACTTGTGTTGACGCACGCATGCACGCACATGTCCACTTACATCCAAAGTTTTCACAGAACGCAAGGCTTGCGTTTCAATTAAACTCATCTCATCTCCACACGCAAGCCTTGCCTTTTATGAAAACTTTGGATGCAAGTGGACATGCGTGTGCACGCGTGCGTCTGCCTACCTGCCCAAGCATTGACGCAAATGACGCATGACACGCAAAGTGTGAAACGCCCTTTAAGGGCTTCTGTCGGACTAGACGGACAGAGAAAAGAAGAAAGAGACTGGAAACACGAGAAGAGCGGACTGAATGTTTTGCTCCATCTGCCAACGCGGTTCGAAAAGAAAGGTTCCATGTTCCGTCTCCCTTCCGTGCGGAAGGGAGACGGAACATGGAGAACAGCTGGTCATTGGGACCCATTCCGTCATAGTTCACCTCTGACCTTACTCTCGTCCACTACTTAACAACAAAATTACATTATGGATTTTGTACTCAGCTGCTTTCTGGATGTATCTACTGTCGATTTCATGGCTTTAAACCATCAAATCCTTATTTTTTCCTGGCCTGATTCTCGAGGGGGAATGCGAAGTCCTTCAATGATGGTCCAGTCCCTTGGCCGAGGAAAACGAGAACTCCTGTCTGGTTATTTTCTCTTTTTTTTTCTTTTAGAAAATAATTCGTGGAATGGTATACAGACTTATATCTATAAGGTGATTATGGACGGCTTTTTATTATTGGATCTAGGATGTTGAATCTAATACCGTGTGTTTGGCATCTGCATGCCATGTATCAGAAAGAACCATGCACCTCTGGGTGACTCCTGTTGATGCACGAACACCTGCACGATTTTCAAATGGCTGGCCGTCTGCAAACGTCCTCAACCCCAGAGAATATCGCGTTGGCGGACCACACGATCTGAGCGCTGAGAGCAAAAACCAATTGCAGTCGAGCAAGTGAGATTGTCCCCCTCCCCCTCCATTTGCTGCAGTGTGAGGCGACAGTCATCGCAGATCAGGTGGTCCACTAATACAACGTTCTCCGGGATTGAGAACGTTCGAAGGCCAGGAGATCCTGCAGGTGTTCAAGTACAGCAATGACTATAGTCATCCAGTGATATGCAGTTCGTAGTTAGAGCATCCTCCTATGCTAAGTGAGGGATGGGTCGGGAAGGGAGAGAGGGGTGCTGAGCATGAGATAGTTCGGAAGAATAGTTTGGGTGCTGAGTGAAGGTTCTAAGGGGTGAAAAAAAAAATTATTCAAGGGGCCTCAAGGAAGGTGGTTGCCCGTCCTTCCTCCCCACAAAATTCGCTCCTGGGTGCGAGTATGACATCAAGGTGACGTCATGCATGCTCTGTTGTCAAACGGCCATTGGAGCTGAACCAGCCTCAGCGGGCAGTTAGCGAAGACATTCTTCCACTTGGTATTACCCCTATAGTTTTCTCAGTTGAGTGCTTTTAATTATTCACTTTCAATTATTCTTATACCCCTTGTATGAAATCTTGCTCTCGTATCTCCGACACGCCCCAGACTGGCTGTGTTTCCCCTAACCGCCGCCTTCATCCAATGATTCGGTTGTCTCAGAAGTCTAATGACGGCCTGGCAGAAACAAGTAAACATATACCTGCCGTACTCAGTTGAACATAATAGTCCAGCCATCGGTTTCTTTCAGGGAAAAGCAGCAATCGCATGATTGTAGTATGACAGTAATTCTCGTCAATCTAGCATAACATGGATAAGTTGTCGGAAGTTTTAGGGTGTAATAATAGTAGTAATCGCTACTGTGATATACTGAACTGCACACGACTTCCTCTGTTGCTATCTGTGATGCAAGGCCTTTCACTTTGGAGCCCTGGCGCCCACCCTCCCACGTGGCCACAAGCAGAGAAGGGCTAAGTGTTCCAACTAATTAACCTACGGCCATCTGTGATCATGGCGGTCCGTCAGTGCATTTTCTTCGGATTCCTTCTGTCCATCCCTCTCTCTTCCTTCGGCCTCTCTTCATTGGACAATGGAAACATCGGCCAGAATGGACTGTACAATGAGAACGATCATCTCACCATATTTACTGATGTGAACTTCGGTGATTCTCTTGGTGCCAGCGGTACGGCTTGGATCATTCAATTCTACAATACGTGGTGTGGACATTGCCAAGCCTTTGCGCCAACTTGGAAGCAATTTGCCAATGAAGTTCAGTGTGAGTTATGAGTGCTGACATTATTTGCTTCAAGAAAGATCGACTTCTTAACCAAACCTTTATGTTATGATAGCCTAGATTCTAGTCATGGAACTTGAGGCATAGGCCAAGTCTCAGGTGCAGACAGTCAAGAACTGATTTGCAGACTGTCCTAGGCGCTTGCTAGCATGGCCTTACAACAGAGCTGCATGAAGCATACTCTCAGGTTTGACAGCGAAACCTAATATAGACTAAGACAGGCTTTGGCAAGTGTAGTTTAAATTTGAGTTTTCATTTAAAATATTTGTCCAGGACTCATTGTAGTGTCTTTACCCCTCCCCCTGGAGGTGAGGGATCTATTGGGAAAGACAGAGGAAATTAATTTGGCTATGCCAAAAAAAAGTTCAACTCTTTATAAAAGAAATAAAAGGAAGTGATCAAAGAGTTGCATCTATGTGAATTTAAATGCCAAGAAGCACATTTCAGTAACTTAATTTATCATATTGTAAATGAGGAAAATATTTATAGGTGGCCTTTCAGAAAACCCAATGAAGAATTTTGCATTTCTTTTAGAAGATGTGGATGTTTTGAGAATGAGAACCAAGGGTACTTCTCAAGGTTTTCTCAATTTCTTTCTGTAAGAAAATTATTTTGAGAACTTGCATTTGAAAAGCAGGTGTGATCAGGTTGGTACCCTAGTTGGTGGTGAAGGGATGCCTTGTTTTAGTTTTCAAGGCTTGTATTGGTAAGTGCAATGAGAAATGCCCAGTGGGCATTCCACATTGCATTTTTACATGTAAGGGACACATTAAATATAAAAAGCAAACAGTTGCAATTTCAAGTATTCTATCCCAAAAGTAATTGATGACAAGTAGAATTGCTCCTGACTGAGAGTAGCTATTCTGTGTCTCAAAATAAAAGGGCTCCAGTTTATTTTTTAGAATACCTTCATATGGTATCGTACAAGCCTCATGTTTTTCTGCACATGACATTTCAGATAATTAAGGAAGGTTGCAACCAAGTTCACCCATTGCTTGGAATGCATTATATTGAGGTATGAAAAATTTCACCAAATCTGCATGCCAGTTTGCCAAGGTCCTGTTTGACTGCATGCAGACAGGCAGTCTGTGGTGGAATTTGTTTTTTAATGCCAGTTATCATGTTATTATGATTGCTTCCTGTTTTGGTTGCATTTTTTACACAAGTTTTTTTTTAATCACATTGTGAATCATGATATTCTGCAGTAGGAGCAACATGGGCCTTAGTTAAAAGGGCAAACCCCTTGTAAAATAAACTGACACCCTTAAATTTAAGTGATGCAAAACACTCATAGCACATGTTGAAAGGAATTTATGAGAAACCAATACAATCACCTAGACTGCCTGTCATCTTTGCTCAATCATGCATGAACTAGCCAAAGTGAGATATCTGGCAAAAAGCATTGGCACAAATTGCTTGTTTCTTGACTATGATTTTCAGTACTTCATATTTGAAAAGTTATTTTATTTTAAGCACCATTTAACTTGGCAGAATTCTTCCTTGTTCATCTGAGATGTCATTTACAGAAAAAAACAGTAGGGTCTCATGATAGCAGTAATAGTAATTGAAGTTGAAAATTAAATTGGCAGCTTTAATTTGAGAAAGTGCAGTTGCTGACATAGATACCAGCATGTAACTTTTCCAGAACAAGCCTGCACTTGGCATTTCATCATCTTTAAAATAAATAAAACTTTCAACCTTTTCCTCTTGGTTTTTTTCTGCAATGCTACAACTGATGGCGAGTCCAGCTCAATGGACGAGTAGAAAGTGTTTACTTTGGATTGGTTTATTTCTATATTTTAGGCCTATTATTCCACTTTTGATAGGAGCATAATGGTCTGTGGCCTAGTTATTCCTGCCTATAGTGCTTCCTTCTTTTTTTTTTTAATGAAGATAGCAATATTTATTCTTCCGGTTCAACACATTTTAAAGCTATTCACTGAAGGGACAGCCACAAAATCTTCACCCATGAACTGGATACCCCTAATGAACTGCTCCCATCTATTTGGAAAAACTTAATGTGCTCTTGCTCAATGGGTTAGCTAGGTAGGTCAGAGAAATTATCTTGAATGCCCAGTTGTACACCTTCTTATTACTACATTTGACTTAGAAAACCTATATATGCCATATGCTGCTGGCTGAAACCAAGTGAAAAGCCTTTGCAAAAGGAAAATCATTCTTTGTTTAAAAAAAAAATTAATTAATGAATAAAATGTTAGATGTATTGGATAGATGACACTTCAAACTCATTCACCTTTGGTTTTTTCTTTCAGCCTGGCACAAGTTCATCCGTGTGGGTGTTGTAGACTGTGCTAATGAGGAGAATCTAGGTCTCTGCAGAGAGTTTGATGTTCAGCTTTATCCCACCATCAAAATGTTTCCACCAAGACTGCAAGGATCCCAAGGAACCACAGTATTGGATAAGACTCCTGAATCTATGAAGGCAGAAGTAATCAGTTTTGTGACTCAACTTCAACAATCTCAGCAACTTTCTAGTTCAATGCATCTAGGAGCTTACATGTAAGCTTTATCTTCACAATTTTATTTTTCCATCCAAAGAAGTGTTTAATTTTGCCTGAATTTATGTGAAAGTCTGAGTTTAGGGCAGGGTAAGTGAAACTTTTGCTCTAGGACTCTGCAAGAATGCAGTGTTGTCATGAGCCATTTTTTCTATCTCCATCTGCTTAGTGACATCCTGCAATCACTGCCCATCCCACCTTAGGGGAAAGAAAAAGATATGTATATTCAGTAGTGTAGTGTATTTAACTACAGTGTATAAACTGTGAAAACATGGAGTGAACACTTTGACATCTCAGAATGGAATGTTCACTGGCTACCAGACTTCCATCCCCATTTATCTTTCTATTCATTTCTTGGTGCCAAATATAGAGAAACCCAAGGTGCCTAGCCTGAAGGGCTGAACACTATAGCAGCAGAGTGCTTACATGAGCAGACTGGATAATGGTGCATTCAATGAATCTATTCACCAACCTGCATACACACACTATGATGTGGGCTGTATGTGTTTCTGTCTCTGGTTTTCACATAAATATTAAGAATTAAAAGTTGATTTTCTGCCTAGGAATTGGTTGCCATAATAGGCCTCTAACATCATGTTGAATGTCATTCAATATTGAGTCAGCAAATCATGATTTGATGAGTTGAGCAATCAGCTAGTCATCATTTGACAAGTTGAACAGTTAGTGAATTGTAAGTCAGCGAATCGTCATTTGACAAAATTAACATTCGGTGAATTGAGTTTGGTGAGTCGAGCGGTCACCCTCTGCTTGCTCCTCTATATTTTTCTCATTGTTCCTGTAAAGGATCATCATTTATCTCTTGCCTACCATTGACTTGACAATGCCCAGATCTACCTCTCACTGTTTGTGGTAGTGTGAATACCAATTTTTTAAATTTATTGTTGAAGATTACCTTAACATATAGAAATTCTCATGTTCACTTAATTAAAGTATAGCATACCAAATGGTTGGCTTAAGAGAAAGCAAGAAAAATCTAAATGATTCATATTTGAATTCCACCCTTTCTGTTTCAGGGGACCAACTCTCCCTGCAGTGAGGCAAAATGCAGTTCTCATTGTTGATAGTGAAAGTGAGCTTGGACTCTTCCCCCGTCAGATATTGCTAGCACTGTCTTCCTATGAAGTTATAGATGGCTATTGGACCACCATAAGGAATGTGGCTCTTATGAAAGTGCTTGGATCACCAACACCACTCCCAGCTGTGTTTATAAGAGATGAGAGCCAGAATTGGAAGCAACTCAAACTGACATCTCTCTCCCTACAAGAAGCTATCAAGTCTATTTTGGCAAGTATCATGACAACCTCCAAAATTGGAGATTTGGCCAGCAATAGTTTCCCATCAAAGATTATGGCAGTGCATATGGTAGATATGGAAAATGGTATTAGTTATGCCCTTCGCCATGAAGTGTCTAGTCACAAAGTTATATCTGGAGAAGACCTATTAAGTTTGCAAATCTTTGTGAGAACTTTAGGTAGGTACTTCCCAGGCAGAAAAGAAGTGAGGCAGTATCTATCAGAACTAGGTGAATGGATACAGAAACATGATGATGCACTTGATGGAGAAACTCTGGAATCCTATTTGGCTGAGAAGCGGAACACTGATACCTTTCTCCCATATCACACAGACTATAAAGCCTGCAAAGGAAGTATGCCACGATATCGTGGATATCCTTGTAGCCTGTGGACACTCTTTCATACACTGACAGTGTCAGCAACAGTAAATGATACTGGGGGCAATGGGAAAGAGGTGTTGGGAGCCATACTAGGCTACATCAAGCATTTCTTCAGCTGTAGAGAGTGCTCTGAGAACTTTCAGAAAATGGCACAGGAGTCATTACATATGGTTTCAAGTGGAGATGAAGGTGTAATCTGGCTCTGGAGAGCCCATAATCAAGCCAATAAAAGGCTCAGTGGTGATGTGAGTGAAGATCCTCAGCACCCTAAAGCACAGTTCCCACCAAAGACCATCTGCCCTGAGTGCTACACTCCCAATGGTATGTGGGATGAGGGGCATGTCCTCACTTTTCTCAAGCATTTCTATGGACCTGAAAGTATCACTCATGATGGCCTGCAACAGTTCAATGGGAAGTTAGAGCAGAGGCACAAAAATGCTGGCAACTTTGCATCAAAACCTGCCCCATTTAAAAATAAAGAACAGCATAAAGTGGCTTTACAGTTGCATGAAGACTCCCTGAGGCCCATTGTACTTCAGAAGTCTTTCACTGTCTTGGGCTTTGGATCTGGAGATATAACTTTCTGCCTTGGGCTGTATTTTATTTCTGGAGCCATTCTTGTTCTTGTGTATTATTTCCTTGTTGTCAGAAAGAGGAAATGGTTCAAAGAATTGTACCGGTTCCATCGCTTGGTTTAGTGCCTCAATTTACTGGTTTATGATGGAATCCTCAGTTGTGATAATGCATCTCAAATATGTGATAAATGTTATTGCTGAATTCATTCACATTGGTAACCCTACAAAATGCCTCCCATTGTGAAGTAACTCATTCTATTGTAAAAACAGTATCATTTCTGTTCTCTCATGTTTCGCACTCACATGAAATGTTTAACTTTCCTATTTCATGGACTCTGACCTTTATCGTCTTTCATTTGATGTGATCCCAAGTGTTAACAGTTAAATTGCTTGGTCTGCTCACTCTAATTATCTGTTATAACTATTTTTGAGATGCTGACCAAAGTAAGTTTAGTAATTCCCCCTAGAGAATGGCAGTGTTGTATATAGAGCTTCAAGGTAAGCTTCATTTATGTCTGCCTCTGGCAAAACTGTAAATTTTCTGGTGAGAACTCCAATGTCATAGTTTTGTTTGCATTCAGATGAAATAGGAGAATGGGTCAGTGTGATTGATATTGGACTAAACCATAGACTTACCTGGGGTAGTTTATCTTAGTGGGTAGTGGAATGTGGAAATGGGGTGTGTTGAGTTGGTATGTATTCTTGGTGCAATATATGGGATAACTCCTCCATTAGTCTTCCAGGGTTGAATGAGCCCCACACAAAATTGAAAACACCACCACTGAGCAGCACTGAGGCATTTGTTGTTTACAGTACATTTCTAAAACTCCCAAGAGTTTTCACATCATCTTCATTTTACATGTTGACATCATTACATTTAAAGAATTCTCAAAATTAGTATTTTTTTCCTGGATGGAGTCAATTCAACCCCACAAGACCAACGGCATTCCAATAGGTGGGAGGTCTAATGGAGGGTTAATGAATCGCAGGGATTTAACTTCTTGCAACTGCACTGCTGAACATTTGAAGTGAATAACTGTTATAAATAACTTTAAACGTTGCTTTGGTCCAGTATAATGATTTATTTATTGCAGCCTGGATCATTTTCTTCCAGTCAAACAGATCTGCAAATGATTCAATGATTCATTTATGTTACAAAGTGACTCAGGAGTACATGCACCCAATATACGTCATACTTTATCACCTTGATTGCTATCCACAAAATTCAAAGTTATCCACTTCAAAGGTTAAGGGGTGTATTAAAGGATAAGATAGGAGGGAATTGTCAGATTCAATAAAAATCTTTAAGATATGGACAATATCAAGAATGTTGCAATTTCAAGCATATATTTTGTTCATTTGTCTTAGTTTCAGTTATTATTTTGGATATATCATGGTTCATTCAGTTAATTAGGAACTCTTCAATTGTGCATGAGACTTAAATTATTTTTATAATTCAATGTGAGAGTAGTTGATGCCCCATGTCATGTTGGATGTAGCAAGAAGGCAATTGGAGTGGGACCATACTGCATGAATGACTTCTTTTCTACCCCATGAGGGTCCTGAGGAATTTGTTTTGCTTCCTATGGATTGCTGTGTTTTATTGATACTTATCAAATTCTTATCCCCTGGCACAAAACTTCTGTTGTTTTTTTTGTCTGTTTCATCTGGTAAGCACAAGCAAATTTACATTAACAGGAAAATATAAATTGTATGTGATGATCTTAGAATGCTAGAAATGCTGAAACTTCATTGAGAACAGGTATCCTAAAAGTACAACCAGGATTTTCACATTGCAAGTTTTGCATTCAAGTAAATGAAGTGCATGTAGGATTGTACCTCAAGTGTTCTTTTCCTTGCAATTCTCATTTCTAAATATTACATTATTTTCAAATGTTTAAGGTAGTATAATGAATTTAAATATAATTATTTTGGCTATAGTTACTCAGCCTTAGATGACTCAGCCACTGGTTCTGTTCAGATTTCAGTTATACTAATTTTTTTTAGCCTAATCAATTCACAGACTGACTTCCCATCAAGGTGAGATTGAACTGAGTTTTGTGGTCACACCTCAAAACACCTGTTGTGTGTCCAACAAGTTTAAACTTTGTCCATGTTGATTATGTCAGATTTCCAAAAGGGCTGTATATAATTTTGAACACCTGTACCTTCTATACCTTTTTTTTTTTCCTTTTTTGTTTTTTTTTTAATAATAAAAAAATAAGGGTATGTTATTTATCTTGGGGTCCTTGCACAGGCAAAGCTATGTATGATTCAAAATTTAATAAAATATGCAGGTACTGTTTTAATGCTACAATTCATTATTTCCAGGAGTTGTGAATTCATTCCTCCTTGCTGGCTCTTTGTCATGTTGATGTGCAAGATTGGACTAAGTACAGATAATACTATCAGACCATCACCATAGAACTTGATGAGATGCTATAGGCAAATCATTTAGTAAAGATACCTGAAGATTATAAGTGCCAAATGAGTCCAACAAGTCAATTTATATTAGTTATAATGCTTCCAGTGTGATGAATTGAAGGATTTAGAAATATGGAGTGGACTTGATATTGCTTCAGATAGAGTGAGGCCTTTTAACAATTTAAAAAAAACTCAGGGTTTTTAATTAGTGACTATTTTAATGACTTGATTGTTTACTAATGAAGAGATTCAGGAAATAAATTTTTTTATTATAAATCTCTTCATTAAACATTCTTTTCTGAATCTGTAAAAAAAAAATACAAAGCTTGACAAACCGCAGGAGTCCACTTTCTAAGAATGTGAACTTGTGTTTTGCACCAATAATCCAAGACTCAATGGGACATGTTGACTCAACAAATAAAAGTGAAGACATTTTGAATTTTGAGACCATTAGATTGTACCAAGAGGATTACATAATAATTTTTGGATTTTTTTTCCCAAAAAATCTTACAAGATAATTATTTTCTTTAAAAAAAAAAAATTAGGAATAGGGTAAAACTATCTTAGTTTGGACACCATGAAATAAATAGTTATGAAACAAATCATTTACGAGGTATTCCTCAGAAACAGCTTTTCCACACTGTGAAGAACTGTTTCTGAAAGTGAGTGCACCTATAGTTTTTTTTTTTACAATGTATGTGATAGTGTCCGAACTTAGATGATTTTACCCTACCTAAGTTTTTTCTGCATCTTATTACTTGCAAGCTACAAATTAAAAAAAAATTAATTTTTGTCCCACTTTGTATACTGGCAGGAAAAACCAATATAACTTATTGCATCCTCTCTTTCTGTATCCTTCTACATGTCTCTACTCAGATCAGTCTCTGGATTGGTCCACAAGGAGACTTTATCAGATGCAGGTATTCATCCTCCTTTACTTGATGTCTGGCACACTTCAGTTTTGCAACTTGGTATATCAATGCTTCAGATGAAGATGGAGTGATATGGAAGCTTTTTGTGCTGGCTTGAATTTGAAATTTTCATATCCTCTCATCTGGAATTGCAGACCACTGTTGCAAGGCCTTTCATTTTTCCATCATCTTCCACACTCATCTCTTTGACAGTTTTGATGTTAATGCCTCAGTCACACATTTCTGATGAATGAAGAGTGAGTACCTCTGGAGAGATGCAGGATAGACATTTTGGTTCAGAAATAAATTGGAAGCTTGGGACATTGAGTAGTTACAATATGGCACTCTGAAGAGGAAATTTATATAAAAGTTTCAATTGATCCCTCTCTCTAAGAATAAATAACCATTTTCAAATACAGGAGACACTTCTTATTGTGATCACAGGTCATTATTATTGTCCACATGATGTGATCAAATCTTGGAACTAAAATTAAATCTCATACATATGTCGAGTATAGTCCAAATTCATCTCAGCAGTTACCAAATTGAAGGGAACACAAGGGCTTAATCTTTCTGTGGGGTAGAGGGAGGCTTGTCAGTAATGAAAGAACTGAAAATTGCATTGATTAATTTTTAAAATCTGAGCTACAGCCTGGAGACCCAAACTAGAGCCTACAAGAAAGGCTACCCACACTCAAGACAACTTTGAATGACTATGGATGACTACTTCTGCCAATAGATGTAATTTGCTAATAGAATTTGGAGTTTTCATTGATTGCAATTGCCCTCAACTGATTAATGTTTTCAAATACCCATGCATCAATGTCATCACAATAGGTAGCACCTGCCTTATCAATTATTAAGCTTCCCTGGGGAATCAGGAAGAGAGCACATCAATGCTCAATCTGAGGAATTTTCCATTTACTCCATGTCAGACCTGCAGGGTCAGTGGTTTCTAAACTAGTTTCAGATAAGCAGGAAATTTTTATATCAGTGTCTCATTCAATCATGGTCTTTCCTGCTCTCTACCTTTGGAATTGGCATCAGTTCACTCAAGTGCTTCAAATTGAGATGACAATTGTTCTGTTCCTGTGGATTTCACTTTGAAAATGTTTTAACAGTTGTCAGTTCAAAGAAAGAAAAACTTGTTGCTCTGGTTTTTCCTGCCAGTATATTTAGGCCTGTGAATAAGGTGCTTAAAGAAAAGGTAAAGGTCTGCCCATGCTCTTGGAAAAACTCCCTTATTGAAACAAGTCATTCCAACATCAAGTATCAGTAGTCCATCATCATTGAAGTGTCAATGAGTGAAAATGTCAAATTAAAGCCAAAACTCACAAATGATACATGTGAAGGCATACCACAGATTTCACTATCTGAAGTTCTTCATACTTGCAATTCATTGAGCAATGGGAAGCCCATTTCTCTTTTAAATGGTGTAATTAGAATTAATCTGGCCTCTTCAGGGCTCCCTGGCCATTTGGTATAGTGACCTCAATCAACAGAAAATGGCATTTTTACACATATAAGTTCAATATTAGTCAGTATGCTTTTTACACTGGGTGCCTAGATAGCATTAAATCACCTAGTCTTAATGAATCTTCTATAGATTGCCTTCACAGATCATTATGGATTTAAGGGTTAAAGAGCTACTTTCTTATTCAGGGTGGGGCAGAAACACCTGACAGTTTTTGAATTGTAATAACAAATGACTGATAGCAGATTTTTTTAAAGTGATATATATTTTTAAATTCTGTATCTGCATGCAACTGAAGATTTTATCTTTAATGTCAGGAATGTCTTCAGTTCATTGAATGCTTAACTTTGGGATGTTCATCTTCAGAATTATGCAACAAGACCCTTGGATTTTTTTCTGAGAAGTAGCATGACATTCATTCAGCTGACATATATTTGATGGAAATCACTTCCTGCATAGCAAATTAAAACAAAGGTACATTGGCTTAGCTATTGGAAGTATATCTAGTTTTATTAAAATTCCTGATTGCTTCTTTTTTGTAAATGGACAAGTATGCTTTTGAAGTTATCAGCCTTCTGCTTGAATTTCCTGGTTCTGTGCCCCTGCTATGTTGACATAATGTTGCTTGCAAATCGTAAGCATTCTCTTCTTATTACTTCCCTCCTGTAGAATCCATATAATGTGTATGAATCAATGTGCCAATTTACAGGTTTTGTTAAACCTGTCGTAACTCCTATATAGCTAGTCAAGTAGTGAGTAGGTAATGTAAATTGAGGAAACATTATGATCATGGGTAACTTGGAGGTGCTGCAATGGTATTCTTTGAATACCATTCACAGAACTTGCATTCAGCCAATGCAGCAACTGTTTCAAGTCACCCAACTTTATGGTACTTGTTCTTGATATCAGTCTCCCTATTGTATAGGGATCTCTTAAAATGACACACCAGATTTTCTCTCATTTTCCTCATTCTGTGCATGCTGTTTGCACATTACCCGATTGTTTTGACGTTTGTAAGAACAATCCTAATGTAATTGAAGGAATGGATGAAGATAATAAGCCCCATTCTAAATTAAATTTTCCATAGGCCAAACTGCACACGTCTCCTGAATTTTATTTTCCCTTGTACCATTTTGAATGTTCTCTCACTCAATCTACCAGACTATGAATGTCTGAAACCATCTGAAAAACATTTGTATAGTATACCACATCTCATGGCACACTGATGTCTCATTTTGTGACTTATAAGTTTCTTATTGAAGGTGTAAAGTTAGTGCACATTCATGGCATGGACAGTGTTCAGATTATGTCTTATTTTTTCAGATGTCTCAAATAAACTGCTTGTGCGCATGAAAGCAACTTCCTTTCCTTTATTGACTGCAGAAATCACAGACGTGAAAATCCTGTACACCATCCATCCATCCTTTAGAATTCACTTTTAACAGAACAGAACAGAACAACAGAACTTATGGAGGGTACTTAATCTTGCTTTGAGAATAGTTTTCTGTTGATTCATCCTCTCAGTCATGCATGTTGTTTGTTTTTTTCCTTCAAGATAGATTTGAAATTTGAGGGTTCAGTGGAATGCCCATGAGAAGCATATTGCAAAAGCTATGATCAGACACTACAGATTTGAAGAAAAAAAACCTGAGGTCAGTGATGGAAGGACTGAAGTGATAGGAAGATATAATTTACAGGAGTACAATTCCAACTGTTTGAATTTTTATTGTTACAGTATTAGTTACGCCGAAAATGCCTAGAATCACTTCATGAGGATGAAATGTTGCGATTGATTCGGCAATAAGCATGAAGTAGGATGATGCAATCGGAAAACTAGGGAAGTTGCGCCCAGAACTGACTGAAAACATGGAATATGTGGAAAACAAATTCAGTTAATGCGGTTCATACAGACGATGGAATAATAATGAATCACCTCCCCCGCAACAAGTGATGGAAAAATTTGCGAGTAAATGTAAGGTAGATGACATGACCCATTTTGTCGGTTCAATCGAGGGTAGGTAGCAAAAAGTTGACCTTGAGGGAGATTATCGACTATACTCCTGAAAGAACGCATAATTCCCACTTCTGCCAGGAAATTCTAACGAAGTACTCAACGAACAAGAAACCCAAAAAAAAACAGTCATAAGTATCTCTTAAAAAAAAAAGCTGAATTCATGCAGAGGAACTTGAACATTCTTGCGAAAATAATATTAAGGAATTATGTTAATACATTTTGAAGGAACCCTGAGCATAGCAGCGGGGATGAATGATACTCCCCCAACTTGTTCATTTCACAAAGCTGCAATAATCAAAATGTTGAGCAGGTAACAAGGGTGTCGGGATGTCGTCGATCTCCTTCAAAGTTCGGTACAGCTCCTGAATGAAACTGTCCGACTGGCTCCTACTCTCGCGACATAAATCCCGGCTGGCACCCTGATAGTAAGCTGAATTGCTCCTGCCCTCGCGACAAAAGTCCTCGCTGGCACCATAGGAATGAATATCAACTGTCGAGTCGGTGAACGGTGATCTGGGCGCATCGACACAGTTCGTACTGAGTGATTCGTTCACATCCGGGGGGATGGGACTGAATGAGTCTTGGCCGACTTTGCTGTTCATCCGGATCACAGACGGTGTTAAAACTATTTTGGGGGCATTCAACCCCAACGGAGTTCGTTCGTCTGCAGATATATGACTCAACCCAACCCCCATCGGAGGGGTCTGAGTGGCTGTCTCTTGAGAAGAACGTTTTGCTTCATCATCACTACCACGTCGCGCTGGAAGAGTTTCTGTTCGGCTCCAGTCTTCGTAGATTGTATCTGGAGTCCATTTCTCGTGCAGGGGATAATTTCGCGGGTCGAAGACCCAGGCCATGCCTCCTACGTCCCTCTGGAAGGAAATGTAGCAGTCACTCTGTTCTTATAAGACACTAACAGAACATGTAAGATTCACGAACAAAGGAGATGGGCCAACCTCATGACGCACGTTCCTGAGTTCAATGTTCTCGTCCTGGATCTTCACCAAGAGCTGTCTGTTATAAAATGCACCCAGCACGGCGATCGCAAAGGATCCGGCTGAGCTAGTCATTGTACTCAGGTAAGCTGTGAAGCAAAAAAGTTGGGGAATTAGAATTTGTTGCCGCTGACACGGCTGTGCGCATTTTTAAATATTTATTTAGGGCTTTTGAAACAATCATAATGAATCAGTCTCCCGATGCAACGTTAAATATCAATGCTTTCCGCTACGTAGGGAGGGGGGAATCTAGAAAGAAAGCTAGTACCAAGGGTGAAATGCTCCTGTGGAGAGGAGCTATATTCTGTCGGAGACAGTCTCACGCCAAGCAGACAACCAGCCGGTCCCTTACACTGGTCGACTCTCCTCTACGCAGCCTCTCAATCACTTTAATAAAATTTACGTGGCTTCACCAGTGAATATTTTCAAACGTTACTCACATTAGTTGATACACATTCTAAGTGCGATGTCTATTTTATTAAATAATTTCCTCTCACAACTCTTCTTAGGTTCAGATAATTTCTGAGGAACAAACCCGGCACGACTAACGACGGCTTTTAAGCGATATACGTATTTGGCAGATTATATAACCGGACATACCACATTGTCGTGTTTAAAAACTGATCCATTCATCGTTTCGATATATATATTTTTAAATCCGTAAATTCAAACGGGTGAAACCAGAATGCTTTCGCTTAGACAAAAGCACGGAATGTAAGGGCGACCTTCTTGAAAAATGTACCATATGATTGGCTTGTGGAGAGATTCTCTCTGATGATTTTCTCCTTCTCATCCTCGGTGAGTAGCAATCTCCATTCGATCTCCAGAAGTATAATATTTACGGCATTCCCAGCCGCGATCATCATTGTGGCAGCCAAGAGGACTTGAACCCTACCCGTCGTTGGCTGTCCGAAGCAACTCAGCTGAAGTATGATGATACCCCATACTACGTTCTGCATGAAATACGTCAAGGGTTAGGCAAATTACTGGAAGTAGTAGAAGGTAATGGATAAAATGAGGTGATTAAACGAACCCAGAAGCCGATCCAGACGTTAGACCATAGCTTAAAGATGGGGAGAACGGTGGGGAAGTGGATTCCACTGATGACTTGGGTCGTGCCTGCGCAGACGAACAGGAGTCCGAATATACCCACTCCCTGGATGACGACTAGCGATTGCAGACACTTTTTCATGTCACCAAAAGACCTATGAGGGAGATAACGAAAAAGAGGTCAGATCTCATTAAGCTTCCCCTATGAATGCAACGCCTTGCAATCCTGAAAAAAAACTCATCAAGATAATAAAAAAGGGGTAAGACGTTTCATATCGGGGATAATTTCTTACTGACATTCGTACGGAAACGGGCATTTAGCGTCATTGAGAGGATCGCGGAGGAACTAAAAATACACAAGGATTTTCAGGTATCACTCATTACCGTTTACTAACCTCTCCAGCGTTCAGTTAATTTCTTATTATAACAATCTGTCACCCCACTTTCAAGTATGAGTTGAAATTGTGTGCTTAGACCCACCGAGGCATAGTAAAACATGAAAACTGAAACTCATGGGAACACTAAAATATTCCGAGTTAGACAGATTTCCTTCTTTGGTTCCGTTTTGGACTGGTTTTTCTGCAACATAATGCCAGAGTACTCCCCCGTTTGTGTGACAATGCGCCAAAAGCTGCGCTCCTCCAATTAGGCGTTAACGTCCCTTATTTGAACCTGAATTCGCATGAATTATCCTTTCTTTCTAACTTTTGGCTCCTCTTATCTCCAGAAGACCCTATGACCTGCATACACGTGAAGTGAGCTGAGCATGTTTCGTTACCCTAGAGCAGTGGTGCCCAACCTTTTCGGCAAGGGGGCCACATAGCTCACTACCACAGCCATCGCGGGCCATATTAAGTCACTAGTATTGCAGGAGAAAATTTTAAGGAAATCCGAGGGCATTGTGGGTTAGAGCCTCGCGGGCCACTTTTTGCCCGCGGGCCACTGGTTGGGCACCACTGCCCTAGAGGTTAGGATAAGTGATTACGGGGAATCAACGCAGAAATAAGATGGGGGGGGGGGGGATCTGTCTGTCTTCGTACATGCATTTACAAGGTTTGGCGGGAACTGGTAAGGGAGTCAGTCCCAGAATAGTCTGCGTTCATGTTATGCTGGCGTGATTTTATCCTAGGAATGGAGATGGGGAAAGTTTTCTTGGAAATACTTATCGTTTTGAGTTTCCCCAAGCTCACATTGAGATAATGAGACATGACTGAGACCCCCACCAGTTCATTATTTTACCAAGATCTGGAAACAGATAGAAACTGCCTCTGGCCTGGGCAACTGGCATGTCTCCCTCCATTCATTTCCACCCTCCCTTTCCTCATCCTTTCCTTTAAATAAACCCTTACGCCAATATTTGGAGTTGTACCTCTATGGGATGATCGTCCTCGCTGGAGTTTTCGGACTGTATGCATTTTACGATGTAAATATTCTCTTGAATGAACGACCACTTTTAACTTTACGCATCATTCCCCGAAAAAAAGGGGAAATTTTGTTTAATAGACAATAAAGCATCCCAGTTATTACACTTTTATTTTTTTCAACATCCGAAACCTCATTCATGGTGATAAAAATGAACCGCTTGAAACAATATGAACTAGCAATCCACTCGTATGCAGATCGACGGTGCAAAAGATCGGAATCAGAAAGAATATATATTTCAAGTAGTGCATTTCTTCGCAAGGAAAGGGAAGTAGGGGAGCGGCACCAGTTCGCGAACAGGGATCCAGTTAGCGAACGAGGGTCATGAAATGCAGTTTGGTCTTTTGTTTCTCGAGTTACACGCTCCAGCTTTTGGTATCTGCAGAAAATGGATTGATTGATTAATGCTTGGGATGGAGAGTGAAACTGGAGTAACAAAAGACCAAATCGCATTTCATAACCCTCGTTCGCTAACTGGCTCCCTGTTCGCGAACTGGTGCCGCTCCCCTAGTTATTCCTTGCACCCGATGATGTCATTGTCCGCCGATCAGATTTTTAATTGAGCGCTTTTCAGATTGATGAGGCAGTTTTCGCTTTCGTGTTCTTGTCGGGGCAAAATGAACTTTGTTGGCTTATTTTTGCATTGCACCAGAATTTATGCTTTCCACATAATGACCGCAGGCATAACTTGAAAATGTATTACAACCCAAGTGAAAATTTTCGCAAAATATCCCGAGCAGAAAATTTGTGCAGTCGCAATCCCAACAAATCCCTATTGGTTGGAGCACACGCATTCGGGACCGACGACTCATTTCCTCCAACTGTCAAGTTGTAACAAAGAAACAGTACATACTGTAAGGGTAAGGAATTGTTTCCTCAATTCTGGATTTCGCAATTTTTAGTCTGACCAGTTCCCGAGTTACAAAATTCCAATGAACGTGAACAATACCATTGGGAATATCATATACCAGTCAGAACTTTTCTTTCCAGTTGCCAAATGATATTAGCTTTAGAGGGTTATATTCTCAAATGCATTAGAATTTAAAATGTCTGCATATGCTTCAACAGAATTGGACGGAAATATGGTGAAACATCCATGATATTCCTATTTTCGTTTTCGTTCCCTTTTCGTCTGCTCCTTTCACTTTTCGTTTACGTCATCAGGGCGAAAATAAAAATGTTTTCGTTTAAGGCATTTACGTCCTAATATACATAGACGAAAGCATCATTGCCTGCATGAGTGGTAAGTGAAACGAAATGCAATGTTCCCCGCGGATGAGGTTTCAAATTCACTCTTTTACGAAGCAAACTGAACGAATAAAAGCTTCAGTTGAACGATAATCCTTCAACTAGCTCTCCTAAGACCCGGGCGGCTTGTACACCTGTAAAATGCTATGGGCTTTGTTTTGTTTTTTTTTTTTGGGGGGGGGGAGGGGGGGGGGGTCTTAGGAGACTAGTGTATGAACTATATCTAAGCTTTCTTGTAATTGAAAATTACAACTTCGCATAACATTTTCAAAAGCTTTGCATCATTTCCAAAGTTGTGCAATTACAAGTTTCAGACTATCGAAATTGGAAGAAACAAGAAAGCCTGTTCCAGAAAGTTCGATACATACTCTTTTCTTCTTCCCGCCTCTAGCCCATTAGTAAGTCATTCTTGGTCGTTCCGTAAGGAATTGAATATAATAATTAAAAACACACACACACACACACACATTTCAGTGCAGGTAAGAGCTAATTCATCACTGCCATACCGTACTTCTAGTCAGGAATGATGGTAAAATCACGTTCACCTTCCTAATCTTGAGAAACTATCAATACATTGAAAATTCTCATTGACTGTTCCCTAAGCTAGAACTAGCTTGATATATGCCCTGATTTTCATATTCCTGTAACATTTAGACTTATACACCTAGGATATGGCTTACAACTGCGTTTGTCCTAGACGTGTTTTCGCTGAAAACATTTGACAAAATGGTATCCATACATAGTATTTCTATTTTTCATCCTATCATTCTGTACGGAAACAGCAGCAAGAAAATTTCGCGGCCAAAATATAGGCCAGTGGCAATTTTCTTATAACCAGGACCGAGCCGAAATATCCCCTTTGAGGCACTGGTAGCGAAAAGTGAACGCGCATGCGCGCCCTGGAAGAGGCAATTTTAACTCGCAATAATTTTCGCTTCCCCTAGCGCATAAAATTGGTGGGTTTCTACGTGCGCCTTCCAAAAAAAATTAGCGACCTGAGTCCCTAGTCTCTAGAATCAAACATTTTCCTACCTCGATTGATATGACTTGGGCATTCGGAGTTCAAGGACTGACGTGTTCCGCGAAAATAAGAATCGATCAATTTTGACAGCGCATGCGCCCTGATGTGAATGAAGGGAAAGCATTCCATGGGGCATTCTCGAGAAGCCTGGGGATGGGGATGCCATGTAAGTACCGAAGGATATGAAGCTCTGAAACCACGACGGCGTTCTAGAGCTTCGTATTCCTTTTTATCACGTCACTTTTTGTGGTGCCGTCAGTGGCGTTGTCTGCGCGTGCTTGCTTGCAGCTGCCAGCGTTAGCCTACCGTTTAGGTTCGGCTTATGCTAGGGAACGCAGTCTATAAAAGGTCGAAGAGGCATTTTCGTTGGGCAACATAACTGCATGACACGCAGCCAGAGGTTAACGTTACCGTTAAGTTCTAATTTCATTTCGTTTGAACAGTATCGTTACTAACATCAGACTTAACAAAATTTGTGCAGATTTTTCCTCAAGATTTTATGAGGGTGGTTCATAATGCTAAAACTGGTAATTGGCCTTAACCACATTATTACACTTCTTGCAGTTGTTGGACCCGTCCACATTAAGTGTCCTCACATTTAAATATTTCAAATCCACTATTCTTGTATTTACCTCAAAATGCATAATAAGCCGTATAGGGAACAGCAAGACCGATAATCGCGAATGCGTTTGAAAATGAGGCATGTTTCAAAATGATAAGCATGCTCATAGGTGGCGATTTGTTGATAAATTCGGGGGGGGGGCTGAGAGACTGTACTCCCAAGTATTCCTTATTCTCGTCCTGGCTGCGAGCCACTTGTGTCAAATTTTTTTAAATTTTTATTGGTCAGCACATCATATGAAAGTATATAGAGCTTCTCATATTCACGAGCATTGATCAAATTCAAAAAAAATAAACCAGTTAAGTTAAACCAGTTTCGAGTACCAATAGTGACCATTTTAAAAACTTCTTCAAACCATTTGGATGATTCCGAATAGTCTTTTAAAAAGAAATTAGCAATGGCAATATTTTTTTTACTTTGATAAATCCCATATATCTCCTGCGTACTAAATATACCCATTTCATTCAACGATTTAGTTGCGATTTCTAAACCTCTTTCAAAATCTCCAATGGTCTGATAATAAAAAAACGCAAGGTCATTTGCATAAGCGACAATCGTGTTTGTCTTAAACCTTTCTTTAATTTTAATTGATTCCGTTACATATTCATTAATAGTTCTTAATTGTTTTTGGCTGAATCCACCTTTATTCATTACATACATATGAGATATTATGGCGTTAGCCTTACGCACATACAATTCTGCGGTATGCATTTCAGAATAATAATCCATCTCATTCAATATCTTCATCATACGTGCTTTATCTGGCTCGACAAATCCATAATGATTTAATAACACAGTCAATTGTTTGATAGTGATATCTGGGAAGTACAATTTTTTGGACAACTTTAAGACTTTCTCAAATAAAATCAC